CCCTCACCAAAAAAGGGCAAAGTATTTGCATATAACCTATTACCCTGTATACTTTAAATTATCTCTAGATATCTATAATAACTAACGCAATGTGAATATTATATAAATAGTGATTGAACTATATCATTTAGGGAATAATGACAAGAAAAAAGTCTTTACATGTTCTGTACAGGTGCAATTTAGAGGGGACTGTATTTTTGATCTGTAGTTGGTTGAATCCACAGATGTAAAAACTGCAGATATGGTGGGTCAGTGGTATATATAATATACTGCTGATCTACAGAAAACTAAACACACTGGTATTTGTGTTTTGCAAGTAGAATTTATCTTGTGGTGATGTTAATAAGTTTGTCCAAACTCCTTTAACTAGAGACCTATAAGTTGATCCTTAGAAGTCAGACCTAATGTTATAGACAAAACAGGAAAACCAGACCCTAGGAAATCCCCATGGAAGTTTTAACTCCTAAGCAGATATGATTAATTAATAATGAATAACTGATATAATTCTCAAAATTCCCAGAAAGAGAACATAAATGTTTTTATAACATTCACTTATATCAGTACCACATTTGAGAACACTTTTAAAACATAATACAAAATTATATTTATTTCCATTCAACTAAGTAGTATTTATTGTGAAGAAGTCACTTATCAAGTATTGTAGTTTTAAAAATACTACAATTCTTTAAAATCTATCTGAACAAAAATCAATTTTATAATCTACATCAAAAGAAATCAAGATTTTAGAAATATAATTTGTCCTTGAGTAAAGTTAATATTATTTCATCAACTGTTCTATTTATAAGCCTGTTCAGAATTTCTTTAATATTATTAAATCTATCTTGGCCTCATAAGAGGTAATACTGGGAATTGAACCCAGGGTGTTCTACCACTGAGATATATCACCAGCCCTTTTTTAAATTTTAAGCAAGGTCTATAAAAAATTGCTGAGGCTGGCCTTAAAGTTGAGATCCTCCTGCCTCAGCCTCTTGAGTTGCTAGGATTAGAGGTGTGTACCACTGTGCCCAGCTTGTCCTCTCTTTCAAAATAAGTGTACAGTTACTAGTACTTTTTGAGTCCATAATCACACAGAATTAAACAGTAGGCAGAATATATGTGTTCCTATTAGGGAATCACTCATAATCAAAGTCTTAATTGAGTCCCTGACAGGCATGAGTAGTATGCTAGACAAACACTTTTATTCAGATTACTGAATTTATATTCAATTCTAAGAGCATGATCTTTCATGATAGCTGGGGTAACAGAAGCAAAATAAGTCAGAGAAACTTTCCAAACATCACAGGTTATCCTATATCTTACAAAGTGAAGAAAATAAATCTATAACCATTAAATGGAACCTCATTTCCTGTTCGAGAGCATAGATGGCCTCAAGAAAAGACATATACCACCTAGAAACCATCTAAAAGTTGTGTGGGAACCTGGAATTTTAGCCTAATTGGGAAGAGTAAGGTTCCCATGCCTTCTGAATCCTGCTTCCAGTAACCAATGAGACTAAGCTGGAGTTTATTGAGAAGTAGAAATATTAAAACTTGGACTCACCTATTTTAAAAGATTTACATACATATAGTATGCAATTAGCATACTCTACTAGTAATATTAGTATACAAATGTCAACAGGTACTGATAAGTATTTAACAGAACATTGCCCTTTACCCAAAAAACCATGTACAAATTGTTGGTAAACATGAATTGTCATATTATCTTAAAAGCAGTAACAAGAAATAGAACCATAGCCATAAAAATGAGATAGAATACAACAGCAGGAACCCTGTAAATGCAATTTTACAACTTTATACTCCCTCCAATTTCTGGTTTCCAACTAGTAAAACATCTGTATTTGCTACCCCTGAATATCCATTTAAGAAATCTTTTGTGATGATCCAGAGCCAGATGAATTATCTTCTCTCGGGTTACTTCTGGCCTCATAATTTTCTTAAAAGTTCCAAATAATGTGTGTGTGTTTGTGTGTGTGTGTGCGCGCGCGCACGCATATATATATAATATATATATATATATACATACACACACACACACATAAATTTAACACAGATATGATAATTATAACATGCATTTAGGTTCATGTACATAAAATTTCACAATATAGTACATTGTAAATCTCTAATTAGAATGGAAGTGAAAGTAGGGAAAACAAAAATTTAGAGAAGAATCATACCACATTAATTTGGGCTCTAATAAGAGTAGTATTTCAAGTGGGATGCAGGGGCGCATGTCTGAAATCCCAGTGACTTGTGAGGTTGAGGCAGGAGGATCACAAGTTTGAGGTCAGCCTCAACAACTTAGTTGAGACTCTGGCTGGGGAGTAGGGGCTGGGGATAGCTCAGTAGAGTGCTTGCCTTGCATGTACAAGGCTCTGGGTTCAATCCCCAGCATTACAAAAAAGAAAAAGAAAAAAAGAGAGAGTAGTATTTTATCTGGGCATAATGACAATGTTTGGATATAGTCAAGTTGTTTGGAACTCAATCTTATATATCACACAACATCAGAACACAGGTTTTTCTATGCCAAATGCTAATCTAGGGGATCCCAAGAAGATTATTGCTAACTTGGAGGCAGCACGTCGTCAAACGCTGAGTCACATTACAAGTCAAATCATGAGTCACACTGAGTCACATTATGTACAGGATCTTTTCGATTTGCAAAGGGCAATTCTAATTTTTTTTTTTTAATAATTCATGGCAACACAACAACAACAAAAAAACCCCACTCTAATTATCAAGCTGGAAGAAGTGGAATCTGAAAATTTAGTGACATATAGCAAAATGATATATATATAAAACTTTAACCAAGTCTTCCCCTTATATAAATTTGTCTTGCAGATAAATTTGAAAATGTGTAAAATGACACTTTTATAAAATAATTTACGGTAGCATCATTTATAAGAGCAAAATTTTTTAAACAACCTAAACCATGTGGGGACTAATTAAATAAACTGACATTTCCATAAATAAAATATCATACATAGCCAGGCATGGTGGCGCACACCTGTAATCCCAGCAACTCAGGAGGCTGATGGAGGAGTATCAAGAGTTCAAAACCAGCCTCAGCAAAAGCAAGGAGCTAAACAACTCAGTGACTTCGTCTCTAAATTAAAAAAAAAAAAAAAAAAAACAGGGCTGGGGAGGTGGCTCAATGCCTCCAAGTTCAACCCCCGGTACCAATAAATAAATAAATAAATAAATAATTTTAAAAGCCTTAAATAAAAAGAGCATATGCTCTTTGTTCTGAGAAGTAGAAAAAAAATCTCTAAGATATAGAAAAATGCAAAAAAGTAAAGAGCACAAGGATGTGTAGTATTCTGAAAACATGTATAACAAGTGGGTGGCATGGACTAGATGTGTGTGCATATTTGTGTATGTAATTGTATATGTATGCATATATATGTGCATATACATATTCATATGTGTGTATACATATGTATATGGAGGGAGAGACATGCACATATAACATCTCTAAAAGGACCCACCCAACACTTGCGTAGGAAGTGGGATTAAATGAGTGGAAAATACAATAAAGAAAATTAAAAAGAAAATTTGTCACTTTATAGTTCTTAAAAAATTTTAAACCATGTAAATGCACTGCTTGATTAAACACATTAAACCAATGTTTAATTTGTATACAAAACACAGCATTTTAGGACTTATACATAGCAATACAGTATAATCTCACAAAGTTACACTATAATTAAAAAATTACAAATTAGAGTTAACAACTTTTACTGTCCTTTTTATTAAAATACCCACCAGTTCATCTCTAAATTTATTATTATATAGTCACAGAATACAGACCCAGGAGGGTCTCTGAAAAAATCTTGAAACTTGATTTATTAAAAAAATGTGACCCTAAGAGGCTAAATAACCTCACCTAAAGGACACAGTCAGCAGGTAGCAAAGTAAGCCTAGAAACAGACAAAAATTCTAATTTTTTTCTTGTATATTTCTATCACCCACAAATGGTTTCTTTTTTTTTTAATTTTTTAATTTTTTTTTTTTTTTAGTTTTCAGCAGACACAATATCATTGTTTGTACGTGGTGCTGAGGATCGAACCCAGGCCACATGCACGCCAGTCGAGCTTGAGCCACATCCCCAGCCCCACAAATGGTTTCTTAATTACCACAAGGAGCCACCAAAAAGTCAACCATGTTGCATTTTGAGGATAATATAAATGGCAGGGCTAGTGTGAGCTGATATCTTATCTCTATAAAATACTTCTCAGTGTTCATGGAATAATCAAAAGGGATCTGGTTTTCTCATCTGGGTTTTTTTTTTAGCAAAGTGCCAAAGAGTAGTTAAAGCCATAGTTAAAGATGGGGGATTGGGGAGTTTCCTACAAATTATACTAGAAAATCTGAGGCAATAAAAATCATTTTTATATAAAATAAGAACTAATATAATATGGCAAAGACTATAGAATGTACACGAATATCTAAGATAAACAGACGCTTTCAAAGAAATTTTGTGTTGCTTCTGATTGAGAATGATTCAAATGACCTACAAGTATAGCTCACACACTCTCAAACTTTTAAAAGAAAGGTTCAAAAACTACTACACCAAGGGGATTAAAACAGAGTGCTTCCCCATACTGGAAAAGGCACAAGGTTAGAGCTAGATAGTATGGATGTGCTACCTGTTCTTGTCACTGTCAAACACAAATCAACTGGGCTCAGAGCCTATTTCTTCATCTGTAAAATATGGACAATATTACTTATCTTGTGATATTGTTATAAAAACTGGAGATAATATATGTTAAGTCAGCTTTCTTGACTCTAGAAGGACTATAACAAATGGTGTCTACTACTACAACCATCACAAATGTAATCAAACTCTTACCATTCATTTGGGTTCAATTTGTGAGAAAAAGATAAGGCAGGCAATGGATATTTTTAAACCCTCCCAACCAGCCATGAAAAGAAAATAGAAGAGTAGGATAAAACCACCTATCCAAACACTATTATACTCACATATTTCATTTCAAACTTCTTAGCCAACATTTCTACCTCTTGCTTCTCCCGATGCTCATCATTAAACGGGTCTTCTGAATAAACAATCTTCTTCTGATTCAAAGTGAATAGGAAAAAGAAATGAAAGTATTAGTATTACTTCAACTATTATTATTATTGATATACATTAACTACTTCAATTATCTTTCAATATAATTGAATATGTAATTATATTCAATAACATTTAATGTGTATTCAATAATTATACATCATATAATTACTTTAGTTATTATCATTCACAGTTGAATGTATTCTGAAATTTAATCAATAATTAGAATCACTTTTTCCTACTGCAAACAAGCAAATTAGTAGGATTAAAAGTAACTAAAAAAGAACTGTTGATTCATAACAAGAAAATATTTGCAGTTTTGGTAGATTTATATACTTCTAGCTTTTTGGTGTCCAAGAATGTAACAATCCAAACTGACTCTACTTGAAAAATGGTCATGCGATCACCTCATCCAAAATAATAAGGTGAAAATTCCCCAAAACATTAGGTAAAAATGAAAACATACATAACTCCAGCTTGACATCTTCCCTAATAAAGCTTAACTGCTTTGGTCAGGAAATGTCTCTAAAAGAATGTCTAGAAATTAATTAGAGTAAACATTTAATCATCTATGAGTTATTACTCCAGTATCTTCAGCCTCCCCAGCTTTCTGATGAGACCCAGAATCAACAATTTCTATATCCTCTCTATCTCTTGTCAATGGATATATGTTCAGGGAGTATGTACTATTTTTAAACAAAGGTAGAAAAGACAAATAACTGCGAAAAGTTTACATTACCATGGCTTTCTTTTAGCAGGGGACAGTGAAATTTTATTGTAAAATACGCAGTTCAAAACGCACATGCGCCGGGCATGGTGGCACACGCCTGTAATCCCAGCGGCTCAGGAAGCTGAGGCAGGAGGATCGCGAGTTCAAAGCCAGCCTCAGCAACGATGAAGCGCTAAGCAACTCAGTGAGACCCTGTCTCTAAATAAAATACAAAATAGGGCTGGGGATGTGGCTCAGTGGTCATGTGCCCCTGAGTTCAATCCCCAGTACCAAAAAAAAAAAAAAAAAAAAACCCACAACACACATGCACACACACACAGGCAGAGAGCGCGCATGCTTGCACCCAATAGCTTGGATCCTATATTTACCATCTGTTTGCCAAAACAAACAAATCACAACCTTTACTCAGGTTCACTATTTCAGCAGACACAATTTTATATATGGTTTTCAATTTACACACACAAAAAAGTCAAAATACAGAGCTTTTTAAAAATATTATTTTTATCTAATTTCAGACAACTGATTTGAAAGTAAATTTTTAAAAAGAAAGACTAGATGTTTTGCTTAAGTGGTATCTTTGATTACTTAAAAATGAAAGTATGGGCCAGGCATAGTGGCACACACCTGTAATCCCAGTGACTCGGGAGGCTGAGGCAGGAGGATCACAAATTCAAAGCCAGCCTCAGCAACTTCCCCAAGACCCTGTCTCAAAATAAAAAATAAAAAAAGGGCTGAGGATGTGGCTAAGGAGTTGTGTGCCCCTGGATTCAATCCCTGGTACTCCTCCCAAAAAAAGTATATTACAACTTGAATACTGTATAGATTTGGATGACCATGAAGGACAGGGGGGGAAAAAATGCAAAAGAGGCAAAGATTTCCATACTTTGGAACCGAGATGCTTCATCCTAGACATAAAGGCTAGAGATATGATTAGTCTAAAACATCTGATAGGAAACCATGGGCAGAATGAATACAAAACAATTCATCACACTTATGTCATTAGAATAAAAGGATACTTCTTAAGGCTTAAAAAGTTTACTTTAGAATAAATTTTTATAACTGTAATAAGTAATAAATTTGTAGAATGCCTTATCCCAGTTGGAGTTATCAATGAAAAATATAAACATTATCTAAAAGAAAATAAACTAGCAAGAATACACTGGTAAGGAAATAAGAAATACTAGACATGTTCAGGTATAGCCTTAAGGCTAAAGTTAAGGGACAGTGAGCAATAGCCATGTTCTGCTATTATTGTTCTAAACTGCCCCTTCAAGTCACTGTGAAGTCCAAATAGTACATCTTTCTACCAGTCTGATCCATTTCATATGTGTAGATATCCACACAGGGAGCTATATTTTTATTTTTATTAAGAATCACCTTTAGGGGCTAGTGATATAGATCAGTTGATAGAGTGCTTGCCTCTCATGTACAAAGCCCTGGGTTCAAACCCTAGCACATACACAAAAAAAATCTTTATGTATTATTCTAAAATATTTTATGTACTCTATACAGGTTTCAAAGAATATTTTTATTTACTCCTGATGGTCCATAAAAATAAATTTAAGAAAATGATTCATTTTTCCTTTTTTTAAAATATCTTTTAGTTGTCAATGGACCTTTATTTTATTTATTGATAGGCAGTGCAGAGAATCAAACCCAGTGCCTCACACATGCTAGGCAAGCGCTCTGCCACTGAGCCACAACCCCAGCCCAGATTTATTTTTCTTTTATAGTTAAAAATACCTCTCCTCCTTCAATCAAACTGAAGAATGATTCTTTTATTTTTTTTAGGTGAAAAAATAATCCAAAAATTACCAGCTACCCTAATTTTCCATGTGCAAAATTTTGCCCTTTGCTCTTATTAACATCATTTCCTGATCTTTCATACATCTTTATCCAAAATATGCAATGGAACAAACAACAGAGTGCCAGAGAATTCTTTTTTAATAATTGTTTTTTAGTTGTAGATGGGCACAATACCTTTATTTATTTATTTTTATGTGGTATTGAAAATGGAATCCAGTGCCTCATGAGTGCTAGATGAGCACTCTACCACTGAGCCACAATCCCAGTCCCAGAGAATTCTTTAGTACTACAGTTACTTATTTTTCTCTTTATAGTAAACATCCAATTATTCATGTTCACAAATTGGTGTTTTGGGTAATGAATTTTCTGTTTACTAAGAATTTAAGTTTTTTTTCTTGTGTTTTGACTTACAACAAGTTTTTTTTCTTGTACATCAATCACTGCCAAAACTAAAACACACTATCATTCTTCAGACAGAATTGGTGAACAAATCTATCAGGATAGAGATGTCTACACTGCCTTGGTCTCATCCTGAACCACCTCAGCCACAGCACATTCTGCACAGAAGCATCAAGGAAAGCTTTTGTCAACTACATCCAGATGACCTGAAAGGTGGCTTTGCTCTCTATGTTTTACCAGCATATTCTATTTAATTGTGCTTTTCCTCATTTATAAAAACTGGTCATAGAAAAAGTTTCAGTTGACTTGTGTTTAACTTTTCATTTAGCATTTATAAAAGGGCTGATTCATTTTTTCCTTTTTTTATGGGTGCATTACATTTATACATAACGGAAGGGGAGTGATTTAAATGCTCCCCCATATAGATGGTATTCACAAGTACCACTTTTTCCCTCCAATTCCACATGTATCAACTTTGGGATCTAGAGCTGCAATTTTATTCAGTGATAGATGGCTGTATAAAAAATTTAGAGCCTTTTCCTTCTAATTTTATAAGATCTCTTTCTTCCCTTTCTTCTGATATTTACAGAACATTATGTTCAATTACAATAACCCAAAATTAAAACTACTTTGAAAATATTATATCATCTCTCAAAATATGTGGACTATTCCCAGGAAAGGAGAGGAATATTTGGGAATCATTACTTTCCAGGCTAAGCTACTCATTTTGCTTTCGGATGGCCTCTCTTTAGGATTTCCTGTCATGGAACTATGATGATTTTACTTAAACAAATGCTTTCTACTATTTCTTATGTACTAACTGGGAGAAATCACAAGAAAATCTGGTAAATTTTTGTTGTAAAAGTATTTTGTATCTATAGTGAAGCAAAAAAAAAATTGTGGAATGATAAAAAGCATACGGCTGAATGTATAATGATAAAATTGGACCAATTAACCCCTAAATGAACATTATGTATGCAGTAAATATAAACATCAAATTATTCATCTTTCTCCTAGAACATGAAGGTATAGTCACACTCTACAGGACAATGTCTTAAGGACACAGCAGGCACACAATGGTATAAGGGTATAGGAAACAAAGTAGTAGACTATACCACCTAGGTTTGTTAAGTACATTCCATGATGCTTGCACAATGAGGGAACTGCAAGTGTCCTATCCTTAAACACCACATGACTGTTAATAGTTGTGATATCAAAATGTTAACAAAAGCTAGGGTGTCAAAATAAGCTTTCTTCCCTGAACTTGTTTCTTTTTGAAAATTATAAATACATATTGATTTATCATGCCATGAACATTACAGCATAAAGGAGGTCATTAAAAAGGTCTTTATATTTGTACCTTGACTTTAACTTGATTTTGACATCATGCTCTAAATTTTAACCACTATTAGTTAACAGTTAGACATTTTGCTTTACTATGCATCTCTACTACAATGGAAAAAATACTAATAAAATTAAATATAATCACTCTGTATGTTAACCCCATTTTTAAAGTAGGGACAATGATTCTTTCCTAATGATTTCTGTTACACTAAACCAGATAAAACAATGTATTCTGCTTGCAACTTTGTCTATCACATAGTAAGAATTCACTATACATTAGCTGGTATTATGTATTTTTATCCAAAGATAATGCTTTTTATCTGTAATTTATGAAAATTACAAAAATTGCAAGCCTACTTAGATTAGCAGGTCTAATACAATTTACTCAAAAAATACTCCATACACTTTCAATTTTCTTTGGGAAAAAAATGACATCACATTTATCAAGATGAGGGCACTAAGGGAGGACAAAATGTTATGTGACAGTGACCAAAATAGTCCCTACCCTTAACAAAATTAATTTTCCTTAAAATCATTTAATAATTATTTGACCACACAACATTATTTGTAACTAATGATCAAAAGATTACCTGGCTACAATATAAACAAAATCTGGCGACAGTGTTTAATGATACTTTTTGACTAAAGAGCCATTCATTTCAACTACAGATAGATGAGGAAAACAAAACCAAGTGACTTCTGGAGTCCATTAGAGACCTATGCTAAAGCAAAAGGCCATAATCTCCAAAAACAGAAGACAATGTTCTCTCTCTCTCCTCTCTCTTTCTCCCTCTCTGTTACTCTACCATCTCCCTTTCTGACTCACTTGCAAAGATGAACCCACAACAATAAAAATTACAATTACCAACAAACCGCTGTTCCAATTCCCATTGTTCACCAGTTCCATCAAAGGTATACCTATGTCTTTTTAATAAAGTTTTTAAAATTTCAAAGTGAAGATTTTTTCCATCATACTTCACAAATTACAATGGCCACGTATAATATCCTACAACTCAGAGATATAAATTAATGATACTCAAATGAGAATATGATGAGTGGCACCCAATAAAGCAGGAGAGACACCCACTCATTCAATGACAGTATGAACAAACTCCATCAAAAATAAAAATTTTAAAAAAGTGCTACAACGTTTGCCAATACGAGAAGGGGAAAAAATAAGTAATCAGAAAACTAACCAGTTTCTCCATGCCTAAAGTGGAATCCCTATTCTCTGGAAATGTTAATTACTCTTAAATTCCCTTCAATTAAGAAAAACCACCCGCACGCAAACCTAGCTCGGCAGCACCGGCGCCATGCACCACAGTGATGAAGATGAGGATGAAACGAGGGGTTACACAATCTCTCGGCTTCAGGCTGGGGGGCGTGTCCCCCAAGGTTTTCTCTTCCTATCTATAGGAAAGACAGCGGCAGCGCCACAAGAACCCAGCCACACGGCTCGCAGGGCCCCAAGATTTTTGTGTAGGGAGCAGAAAAGAAAAGAGGAAAATCCGAGGTTTCGAAAGGTGCTGAGAAAAACAGGCGCGGTGCGGTGTCGCGAGGAGAGCCTCGGCCACCCCGGGGAGCTGAGCTGCGCCGCGCTCCCGCCCGGTCCACCCGCTCGGCCGGGACCCTCCACCCCACCCTCGGGGTGACCAGGACGCGCCGGGGGTGTCCCGGGGTGCAAACCAGCCGGGGGAGGCGGCGGGTCCTGAGGCTGCCCGGGTCTGGGGCGGGAGGGAGGAATCCTCTGTACCCGTTGTTCTCCGCACAGCAGCAGCTCCGGGTAACTGAACTCCACGCAGCTTTCGTCGGTGGGGTCCTTGAGCACCAGCTCCAGGCGCACCGTCTCCCGCGGAGGCGGC